AATTCATGAAGCTGCTGAAAATAAAACGGAACAAAGAATTGTATGCATATGTGAAAAATCTAAGGTCATGAGAATTACATGTTATGAAAGAAAATTTTTAAATGCAAACCAAGCAGTCGCGAAGCTAACAAAATTAGCATAGTTATTGTGGTAACTGGAGATGGAACAGATCTTAAATGTTATCTAATCTGAATCATAAAGGATTCTCCAGTCATTCGAATTCTTTCTATAATATTGATAATGAAAATGGGAAACCTTTAGTTTAATATTAAAAAATCTCAATTAAATAAAATTTTAATTCTGAGTTTAATCAAAATGAAATGTAAAGGTACAGTTTTTAAATTTTAAAACTAAATATATAATTAATATTCTTGGATACTGAGATTTATTTTCTCAAAATAATTTGGCAAGTAATATTTGAGTAATATTTTAAATACTGTACATTTATACAGAAGGGTTTTAAATCAAAACAAGTTTATATGAGAGGGCATAATTTCAAGAGTTAATGTAGAATGTTAAATTACTTCAAGAAAATCATGACTGAGGCCTTTAGAGTCTCTTTCAATTGACATTATTGATAGAAGTCCGTTAAAATCACATTTTTTGCGTTGTTCTTTTTATAATATATAAAGTTTTTTAATTAAATACATAATACAACTAATATTTCCAACCTTTCTGAGTTAAAACATTTTATAATTCTTAGGGTATGAATTCAAAATGACGATAAAATAGCGAAGACCTAAGTTATAAATTTCGAATTCTTTTCAAGATTTGTGGCAATCGATTCTTCCATCCCTAATTTTAACCCCTAGTAGATTGACTACATGCTGTTTTCATAAAATTCAGGAAAATCTACTTTATTTTTACAACACATTCTTTCACTAAATGTAGCATGTATTAAAAAATCCATTTAACTGTAACGCATATATAAATACTAGATTAAGAATTCACATGGATGTTGTCACTTATTATTCAGAGTAATACTACTGCATGAAATTACTTATGCTTTGTTGGTAATTCTTGGAATATTTTTAGTCCAGTAGCTATCCATCTCAAATAATGGAACAAAATCGAGCAAAATTAAGAGCGTTTAATACCCCTTTCTCATGTCGATTTTTAATAACAGATGGCGCTACGAACGTTGAGCGATAAAGACTCAAATCTGTAAGACTACCTACAGCCTGGTTACTATGGCAACGACGCTTCCTTCCTCTGTACTTGTTTGGCGGGAAAGTGAGTAAGCCATAAAACACATCCCCTCAGTTGAACAAAAGACCTGCTGTGTTTCTTCCGTCTGTGACTCAGACTGCAGGGTATGTTTTGAACAGGAATAGAACTTTTTCACCTTTGTGTTGAATGAAAGATATCTGTGAGATACGTGCAGCAGTCGCTATTTCTTTTCGCAAAATTTGTTCATCACGCTTTTCAATGTTGCGTAATGTTTCATAATTTGCCGTTATTTTGCGGAAGAAAAAGTTTTTAAAAAACTAGATTTTTAAATTTCATCGCGACATAAAAATTATATATAAATGATTTTATACTTGATGATATGTGTATACATATATAGCACGCACATAATATTCCATTTACTCATCCATCCATAATATTTCATAAATTACCATCCATAATATTCCATAAATATGTGTTAGCACTTTCCAGAGCTTTATATATATTTTTTACTTGTATTGTAAAATCGTATAACACTCCTAACTATTATTTTTTACTTCAAAAGTGGATAAATCATTATCAAATTTTTCTAGTACACGGAGAAATGGTCTATGTATCCACACACATAAACGTAGTAAAAGATACTATTGTTGATTGATATCTTTTGGCAGCAATATCAAGATGCAACGAAAATTCGAAATCAATTAATAACATGCATTTTATTACAAAAACACTAGCAGGACGTATTATTTGCACAAAAAACTTAGTGTGGAAATAATTTGCGGCACATTATCTGAGATCCGCTTTGAATGAAAATACATAAAGTGTTATAATGAACAATCAGTTTTAATCAAGATTTCACTTGATACTGAAATGCTTAAAATCAAATTGCGTTTCTATGTTTCAGGTTTATAAAATACAGCTGATAATTGAAGGGGTATCAGGTTTATAAAGTACAAGCTGATAATACATGATAAGGGAGAAGAAATTCCTAAATTACAAAATTGAATAAAATTGAATATTATATTTTAATAAAGTAAAATGATACATATTATAGATACATCCTAAAAAACGATAATATATATATATATTGTATATCGTTGTATACCGTATATATATATTATGTATTTATATGTATATCTACTCTTTTCCGGATGTAACTGTAATTACGTACTGTGCTGGTTTATCATCTTCCTGTAGCGATGCATTTGGATTTGCTGTGTATGAATCTGTTTCATTGAACAGGAACAAATAGGAAACAGAATATTGAAAATTGAATTTTTTTTAAAGCATTAGTAATTTATATATATTAGATTGACTAAAAAGAGTATATTCATGCATAACGTATAAATATGTGAAGTGAATACTTTTTGGCAATCACCTTTCTAGGATGATCATTTTTAAAAATAACCAGTACTGTTGATAAAATAAACACCGGTACGATCTATCTGCCTAAGGGAAAGGATGCCTTCGTGGAAGACTTTCTAAAGGAAATTGGCTCCTAGACACGTTACACAGGGTAAAACCACGAAAGCGCAACCAGTCCCTTCGCGGGATTCGTGTTCAGCTACTTTACCGCTTCGTGCCTCATTTCAGAGCGGATTCGCTATATATGAAACAGAGTAATGTGCTGTTACCGTATTTAGCAGCCTGCCTTTTTCCTTGACCTACCATAAAAAAATAAAATAGCAAAATTATAACAGCGTCTCTAAAAAGATGCTTTGCTATATTCTCATTAAATCTTTATCATTCTGCGCTACTAAAAACGAAGTACGATTATTTCAAATTCAAAATTTTATAACATTACTTTTACAGAAAGCGATCTCATGTCTTCTAAAAATGAAAACCCAACATCTGTTTCTACTCAAGCGCTTACTTTCTAGACAAAGTAATTTCAGTGTAACGTACGTTCAGTTTTATCTAACTTTGAACGAAAAAAAAAAAAAAACTATGTACATAACAGGCAAAGATAAAGATATTAACAGCACATAAATTTAATCAATTATATTGAATTATTACCAGATTATTATATATTATATATTATTACCAGAGGAGAAAAAAATAATTCCGATGAGATAATTCTCTGAGAATTCATAAACGCTAAATTAAGAATAAATTTTATAAAATGTTTACTAATGAATACATGTATTTGCATAGTAAGTTTCCTTTTTAAAAAAAAATCCGTTTTCATCTTTATCACGTTTATCGGAGTGTCGTATTTAACTTCACAATTATGCTCCGAAATTTCATTGCTGTAGATTGGATTATTACCAATATATAATTCTACTAGTAACCAGGAGCCAGTATTAGAGGTTTTTGCTGCTCACTACAATAGCTGTGGCTCTCTACTTCTGCCACGCGCCGCCAGTGGCTGAGTGGTTAAGAATATTGATTACTGGAAGTTCGACCTGGTTTCGGTTCGATCCCAGGCGAACCAGCTGGCTGCATGGTTTGTTTTTCCTGTTGTGCAACATGAATACGACCCAGTTTCCTTCAGCAATTAGGCTCACCCGAGCGGCCGAGCGGTTAAAATCGCTGAACACTGGTAGTTCCGACCTGGGTTCGAATCAAGGCGAACGGGCTGGCTACATGGGCGTTTTCATAATCTTCCCCGTGTGTAACGTGTTTCTCTATGGGTCCACCACGAGCATCCTTTGCTTTGCCATATAAACTAAACTAAGCCTTCAGAAACTTCCTCCACGAAAGCATCTGCTATCTGCCACCTCGTGGCTTTGCTATATTCAAAGAGCCTAACCCAATTCTAGCACTCAGTTCCTCTCTAAATTCTAGCGGGCGAGCGCTAAAGTCGCCTATTACTGGTAGTTCAACCTCGGCACATTATCTGAGTTCAGCTTTGAATGAAAACAACATAAAGTGTTATAATGAACGATTAGTTTAAAGATTTCACTTGATACTGAAATGCATAAAATCAAATTGCGTTTCTACATATCAGATTTATAAAGTACAGCTGATAATTGTAGGAATATCAGGTTCATAAAGAACAGTTGATAAATACATGAGAAGTGGGAAGGAATTCATAAATTACAGAATTTAATGGTTGTAACGAAAATTTTAAGCACGAACGTTCTTCATAAAGTTATGAAAAAAATCGATATTTTAATGTTATACAGAGAAAGCATTCACTCCCTTTATACTGGAGATAATTCAATTTGGACAATGGCAAAAAGGCTAAGCAAGCCTGAGCGTATTGGTCCCATTCTTGGCACTAGTTTGGTTTACGCTCAAAATACACAGCAGATATTTTCTAATTACCTGCATCCCAATATCAATTCAATTCAGCTTTTGGTGGAATTTAACATTTGTGACATATTTTTCAAAAACTACACTTCACAACATGCATACATGACAAATACATAGAACCATAAATAAACAAGCAATAATATATATTTATATATAAATTTTACTAAATGATCATAAAATGTTCCAACGCTAAAAGAAAGTTTTAACATCCAAGTAAATGACATAATAAAAAAAAAGCAAGTTGAACAGCGAGCACATGAATAAATGTGCATACACCTGTTAAAATATACCATAGATAACTGACAAAGCATTTCGTAGCAAACATATGACTATAAAATTTCCAATAATACATGTAATGATGGTGAATTCAATTTAGATCGCAAGAACATGCTCATACTTTTGAAAAGATTCAATTATTTCAGCAATTCCTTGTGAATTGGAATTTACCCTTTCAATATTTCCCAACAATTTAGTGTGAATGGAGGAATAAATTCTTATAACAGAATTGAACAATTATTAGCATCCCCTCATACACACACATACAAAAAAAAAAAAAAAAAAAAAAAACTTACTTTGTAAAAAAAATCATCCGGGCAATGATTCTCCTTTGACACAGATGCAGTTGTATCAATAATTTCTGACCTTCAATAAAAAAAAAAAATACGCATATTTTACTTCGGAATTAACTTACTACGAAATCATAAACACGGGGTAGTCGATATAAAGAATAAATTATTTCTCACCTTTCGAAAACATCCGCTTGTTCGGAATCTTCCACATCTCGGGAATTTAATTTCATATTTTTTTCTTGAGCTCGACGTTTACGCTGAATTCTGGATCTTTTATTAAAACCAGGATGTTTTTTCGGTCGTCCTTGATATTTTCGCATTATTTTTGCAAACTGACCACAGTACAAATAAATGTAAACAAAACGAGTGCGGAATAGCAATGCAATAGGGTTGCCGTAAACGTCATTCTGCTGACAGCTGACAATGTTTAGTGAAAACTGTGTATAAAGGAATATATGAAACGCTTCTAAATATTATTTAGAAAAAAATATGATTTATAACTGATATCAAAATCAATTACTTCGTGAATTTTTGCAGAAATAAGATTACAATGTTAAATTTTAACTCGTAGCGCCATCTATTGATGGCTTTCCAAACTACACATTAAAATTACGTATTTCAAACTAATTTTTTTAAAATATAATATTTAAGTAAATTTCATTTCAAACCTGATTCTAACATTGTGATTCGAAAACTGACCTATTGCTTTATATTTCTGCCAAATTGCACGCAACATAGTTTCTTAATTAGCGATTCTGCGTGTAAAAAAATTTTTAGTATTGTAATGCTGCTAGTAGACCACCTTAAAGTTCGAAATGTAGACAAAAAAATTTAGATAGTAATATGGCAGCGTGAAGTTTCTCGCCAAATATTTTTGGCGAGAAATTTGGCGACCTGAGGGCCCATATAAGAGTAGTTCCAATGAATTTTGTAGATAAATATCTATCTGAATATTTTAAAAGAATTTTGAAAGAAGGCATTCTCGTGTCATGTTTGGCGGTTTTTAGAGTCCATCGGTCCATCCTTGTTGGGAGCAACATGTCGAGAATTGTATAGCTAGTTTCGAAACCGAAGTAGTAGTCACATTCAAAAAAGAATCCCAGGCACTGATGTCTTTAGGGGGTTTTGACCTTAGGGGGTGGATTGCTGTGCCATTCAAAAGCGTAAGCATGACTTTCAATAGAAAAATCATTTCCATTCTTGGAATTTCATGGGGCACTTAGAATGATGAAATCGTTTGCAATTCGCCCTCTTTGACCTTTTCTGAGAGTGTCCATATGAAATTATCTCTGCTGCAAAGAACTCCTTAGAGGTTCTTTGTCTTTTGTCATTTTCACAGTAAATATTCAGCCCTAATCAGGGGCAGAGTTTTGTTTTACGCACTCTAAACTTCTTAATAATATCCTGTTTGCATGGAAACATATAAAACTTTGTGATGATCACCCCAAGGTAGGTGACTTAACCGAGGGCAGAGTGGTACTAAAGAATTTAAAGTTTTTATCAATAATTTTCTTTTTAGTGGACTGTAGTTGTTTTACTGACGTTAACCTGTATTTTCCATTTTTTTAGCAGGTCTCTAATGGTTGTATATAGCTTTGAAGGTGTTCATCCTATTTTTCTTCGTGCTGTAAACTAAGGCTACACTAGGCAGGTGTAGCATTCAGTTCTTGGAAAACGAGAGCACACAATTAACATACCTTAGGAGATCCTACTGTGTCTCGCATTGAGCAAAGAACTGTTGATCCATGGAGTCAAAGAGCCTGCATGGATTGTTTTTTTCCATTCGAGTTCTTTGCTTGAGCTGCCAGACAGCACACTGATCAAGGCTGATGTTTATTCATTATTGTAAATGCTTATTTTGGATGAAAATGTGTAACTGAAAGGAAGGGTCTAAACAATGACTTTTATGCTGATTTATAAGTAATTTTTTTGTTTAAAATTATTAACATACGGTGAAACTGAAAAAAACCTTCAACATAAAATTCAGTAATTGCGGGTAGTAATAGTTGTAATTAATTTTAATATATTTATTTTTTTTTAATTAAAGTTACTATTAGTATCTTTTGAGAGATGTGGCAATGGTAATCAGTCTTTCTGTGCTATTCATCAATCAATTTTTACACTATTTTGTGAGATATCCATATTTTTTCCTTATCAGATTGCATATAGCAAGTTAAATTTTCGATAACGTGAGATTCGTTATAGCGAGGTTTGAATGTAGTCTGTGACACAGGAATGTAGTTGCATAGATCGAAAACATAGTAGGGAAGTACATACTATTTGGACTACCACAAATTTTCCAATCCTACTCATTTTCCAATCCACTCTGAACACAAAGTAAAAGTTCAAGCAAGTGCAAAAATGTCAGTGAATAGCAATGCTTGCATGAAGCTTAGAAGGTCTTTGAGCTTTCATAACTCATAATATTTCTCGTAAACAACTCGCACATGAAAATTCTTATCTAAAAATACATAATTATATTTTCAGAAATATACAACATTCAAAAAGTTAGATTGTATATAATTATATACTTTGTAATCAAACTATAAAAACAAGTGCCTCTGACTAAGGCAGTGCTCATTTGCTCCTTACCAGTATTTCAAAATGCTGCCAAATTCTTGTCAGAATATTTACTCTTTTCAATCCAAAAGTTTTACATTTAGTAATGTTTTTTGACTGCCTTTTGCAGCTAATTTTAACTGATATTATTTGTTTTGAATTCATAGGATCAAATATCTTTAAATCTAAAACTCAAGGCTGGAAAAACTTGCTTTTCTAAATGAATTTTTTTTTTAAAGCTTTTTGAAGATTCCATTCAAATAATCGATGTCCTACTGTATAACATGTAAACAAAACTGCTGAATATTTATACATTTTTCGTCTTTATATTGAAAAACGAGTAATATATACTACAAATAATATTTAGCTGTTAATTTTTCATGTGCTCTCTCAGCGCTTTCTTTCAGGTCTGAGCAATGCGGATTACAATTATAGAGACATTAGGTTATTTTGATGCAGGAGATGTGAAAAATGAGCAATGCCCTCGCCTGGACTCGAAACACGGACATCTCGAATATGCGCCGAGCATGCGGACCACTACAACACGAAGGCATGCTAAGAAGGCGGGAGAAATACCTTATATAATCCCCCTTTTAAAGGACGATTGGGGATTAGGGGACCCAATCGCCAAATCCTGGTGGTGGAAAATCATCAGCCACCACCTTTTTTAGTTCGAGCGCCACTGTAGAGAATATAGGTATTTTTTTTAAGCAGGAAAGATGAAAAATGAGCAATGCCCTCACCGGGACTCGAACCACGGACCTCTCGAATACGCTTCGAGGATGCTGAACACTACACTACGAAGGCATGCTAAGAAAGCGGCAGAAATACCTTATGCGATTACCTTTTAAAATAAACAAACGAACAGTTGCCAATGCATTTCGAAGCACAGTGGGATAGCATGATTAAAAAAAAAAAATGTGCTTTTAATTTCGGTCATAGAACTCTTAACGTACAGAAAAGCTCAATTTTAGAGTGAAAATATTTATATTAAAAATCTTTGTATAGGAAGACTGCATTTTTTTGTATTTTAATTTTTTTAATCATTTCTTTAAAAATCTCATATTTACTAATAAAAAATTACCAAAAACTGATAAGATTATAGACCGCCGAACTGCAATTTTTCATAGGTGACGCCTGCTTGGGGTTCAGACCCTAGAGGCAAAGAACATCTATGTATATTCCTTGCTAAGGGTCCGCTTCTTTCAGCCCCTTTGGTCAAGATACGAGCTGCACTGAAGCTTCGAAGAAACCCTTGCCACTCACGAGCCACAGTTTGCTATACCTATAGACCTTGTAGCAAATATATCAAGCACGTGTGGGGGGGATAAAATTTCACATTCGTAAATTCAATTATGTGATGTCTTTTACTTTGGTGATTTTCCTTTTATGTAAAATGCATACGAGCCACTTTACCTTAGAAAACTCTACACGAAGACATCCCCCCTTTTTAGGCATAATTTTTAGGCGCTCGTGTGCTTTGCTGCAATAAAATAAACCAAATTAAACTTTTCTTTTCGGGAAGAAGGAATTAGTACGAAAAGCTTTGCTGCAGAATGCAAATCTTTATTTAAAAACCGTTTACTCAGAAAAATGAACATTGATGGGAAAAATAAAACGTTTAAAAAATGGTGCGAATATGAAATTCATAGCTTCTATAAATAAACGTGCAGAGACATTAGGATTTTTTGGAAGAAGGCAAGATGAAAAATTAGCAACACCTTCGCCGAGAACCGAACCGCGGATCTCTGGAATACGCTCTCAGCGTGCAGACCATCACACCATGAAGGCATGCGAAGAAGGCGGGAGAAGTACCTTATAAACGCTAAAAGTATTTCTTATAACGCTCATTATTTTCAGCGTTATTCTTGTTTATGCATAAATAATAATTTTGATAATGAAGGAAAAGCGACGATCAGCAACTTTTTAATTTATCTTTGTTAGTAGAAAAATTTATATAATTAATATATCATATTCCATTTCGTAAAATAATTTGTTGGGTGAATGCGGATATTTGACCTTTTTTAGACACCAAAGTACTTTTATCAGCTAGATATGTTCCAATTTTTATATCGTAACCATATTCTTATTATATAGAAATTCCTAAAAATCTGTATGTTGTTGATAATATTAACATCCCCCAAAATCAGCATTTTTTCATATTATAAAGCTCAGGATATTTCGAACTGCAACGAAAAATCCTTTTCATCCAAGCGAAAAAAAACTGTGTCCGGTCATTTGTTACCATTGAAAGAGGACTGCAGCACCTTTGAAAGAAGACTGCAGCACCTTTTTTTCGAATTTCGCTGAATCACCAGTAAAGCTAAGGGAAAGTTTTAAATTTTCCTACCATTTAATACCATTCCATATTTCTGTTACTTCGACTGCTCTACATAGAGTAAAGCTGTAAATTGAGTCATAGACCAATCAGCGGTCGAGCGGATAAACAGCCAAAACAGGAAATTTTGACCCAATTTTAAATTCTAATGAAAGACCCGGCTACAAGAATTTTTCCATGGTTTTTTTCTATGTATAACGTGTACTCCAGCTAATTTTCCTTAGAACGTCTTATGCAAAGGCATGTTGCGCTTAGGCAAGTGAAAATGATGTTCTATATCATGGTCAAAATAAATTCAGTTTTAAAATTTATTATTTTATTTTTAAACATGATTACATTTTAAAAATTTTGCATACTTAAAAATTGAACTTTAAAGAAAGGTTTTTGTTTCATCATTGTTTATTAAGATAACTTTTAGGCTAGTATTCCATTAATAAATGATATACCTCATATACACACATCATCATCGCGACATTTTGACTTTCAAATCCTTATTTTTATGAATGAAAAAGAACTAAAAGAAATTAGTTAATTAAAGTAGTAGTAGGATTTTTAAATATTCTCAAGCAATGATATCACCTTACATATTTTTGACACAATTAACATATTCAGTAAAGTTATTAAAATATTATACATTTCTTTTCAGATATTTATGAAAGAAGTTCGTACCTGTGTTTGCAAAACGAAAATTGGATTTATTAATTTGTACAAAAAAATTCGTTAATCTGCTCCAAAATTTTTGTTTTTCTGCTATTTATTGTAATACGCAATTGCATGTTGAATTCAATTTATCAACATCAATGGAATAATATTACATAAAGTATGTTTAGAGTTCAAAATACAATACTAGTCCAATTTTATTACGTTAATCAAGTAGTTTTTACCAAGT